GCATTTTGCCAAAACCTCGATCACTTCTTTTTGGTTATGAGCTTAAGCTTCGCAAATTCTGCCCAAGATCTCTATCACGCCTTTGCCGTGGAATCTTATCCGTTCACCGCCGCTCGCATCAACAAGTTCTCCGAAACAAACTTTCATGTGTGGGAGTTCAAGATGCAATTGGTGCTGGAGGATCAAGACCTGTGGGGCGTTGTGAGCGGCAAGGTCAAGCTCAAGTACTGCACAAGTAATTTGGACCAAGCGACGTTGAGAGAAAGTCGCGGAAGGCGTAACGATAATCTGTCTTGCGATGGAGGATTCGCAGTTGCCACTGGCTTGCTCAGCGAAGGAAGCGTATGATGCATGTTCACGTCTAGAAGATCACTACGAGAAGAAGAGCTTGGCTAATAAGCTCTTTCTTCGTCGCCGTTTCTTCACGACAATGATGGGAGAAGGTGATGATGACGTGCTGGAGCACATAACAGACTCAAGAATCTAGCGGAGCTACTCGACGCAGTCGGTGCTCCGGTCAGTGAGGACTCGTTTTTGTCCAGCCTTAGTAAGTCGCACCAGTGCCTAATAACAGCATTGGAGTCAAGAGCCGACTCGCTGTCGTGGGAACTAGTGACATCTCGGCTAATGCATGAAGACATGAAGCGCAAAGGAGCAAGGTGATGAAATCGAAGGAGACGCGCGCAGTCAACCTCAAGAATAATGTCAAGAGATAACAAGCGCAAGGCTCGACCGGCTAAGCAGACCGGTGCGTGCCACAGTTGTGAAAAACAAGGACTTTGGATTGTGGAATGCCCCTCGCGCATCCAGAAAGACGCTGAACGACACAGGTTCCAGCGTTCAAACATCGCGCGAGAGAGGATCTTATCAATTACCTTTTCTCGGTTGGCTGTGGTAAGACCAAGTCTAGTAACATGTGACTAGTCGAACCAGGTGCGGCGCAGCATATCACAAGCTTGAAAAAGTTCATGAGGAACTACAAGGACTTTGGACTAGTAGATGTGCATCTTGCTGATGATGGTGTTGTACAAAAATTCGAAAAGGTGACATTGTCATGTCGATGAGGACCGTCAAGGGGTCAAATAGGGTGTGCTCACAAATGTGTGGCATATCCCAAGTTACCTCGAAACTTATAATTCGTTGGAAGTTTTGTCAAGGAGGTTGGGCATGTCACCTTTAAAGTCGATAATTGCTTCGCGGAAACGAAGGTGTTCCGTGGAAACTTGGCGCTATCAAAGGAAAGGAATTGTTCTACTTTGTATGACACCGGAGTTGCCTGACGAGGTCGATATGGCAAGTAAACTCCAAAGGAGACAATACTTCTTACCTTTGAAATCTTTGACTTGGCACATTGGACATTGCGGTCTAAATTCCATCGTCAAAAAGGATTACGGCAGCGAAATCGGCATAAAGTAGGTGCCGAAGTGGGAATTTTGTGAAGGATGCGCTCTTAGTAAGCAAAACCGTGGGATGTATATGCAAGTATGTTGCTGGAGGTCATTGTGTGGCCCTATGAAAACTCCTAACTTTAGCCCAAACAAACGGTATTTTGTGCCTTTTATTGACGTATACTCGCACTACTGTGTGTGTATCTGCTTCAAAAAGCAGCCAAGTTCGCTCAATTTGTCACGTTGGTGGAAACCCAAACTGGCAAGCGTGTGAAGACTCTTCGAAGCATAATAGTGGCGAGTACGCTTCCAGTATGATGTTCAAGCTCTTAGCGGAAGATGATATTATGCATATGTTCATGCCGCCTTCCACGCCTCAATTGACTGGTGTCACCGAGCGGATGAATCGAAAATTCGTGGAAAGCGCTCGTTGCATGATGGAACATGCCGAATTAGCCAAATTGTATTGGGGTGAGGCATTCATGACTGCAAACGTTGTAAGTCTTCGCTGTCCAACTCGTTCTACAAGTCACGACAAGTCACCCTACGAAGCATGGAGCGGTAAAAAACCTATACTTGCAAACCTGAAGTTTTTTGGATGTCATACATACGTGCGTGCCCAAGCCAAAGCAGTCCAAGCTCGCTGCAAGATCGATTTAGTGTCATTTGATTGGATACTCCGACCGTAAAAAAGCGTGGGCGTCTACTGGGTTAGAAAAGAGCTCTGACAAGCCTCTAGGGTAGTGGTGGATAGAGATAGCCCCGAAGAGTGATGTACGGAACGTGCATGCAAGACAGGATTGCTGGATGTCAAATACACAGTTAAAAGGCTTTAATGCACTATTGACGGACCATATTAATCGATTCTGGAGCTTCTAGCAACCATGCACGGTGCTCATTCTTAGAAGAAGGTCAGCAATATGCTGAGACGCTAATGCACAGATAAATGGCACTATCACTGTTCGTCTAGCAACGGGAGTGAGTATAACGGTGGCCAAGGATCATGTGAACCTGGGCGTAACGTTTTTTTACTTCTGCAGCGTGAAACGTTGTCTGGTTCTTAGCTTGGATGATAGAATGATTTTATTTTAGACATGACCTGGCTTAAACGCCATGAGCCATAGGATTGATTGGAGATCTGAGATATTGGGCGTTACGTGTTTGTTCCTGATGGAGCTTTGGTAACCCACCTATGCTAGGAAGCAAAAGCTCTTTTGGCGCGAACACCAGACCGACTTGGTCAATATGCTGGACATCGGAACCTTAGAGCTAGTATGCTCTGACGATGCCACGACTACGAGTCACGATTTTGCTAATGGGGTGGTACGTACTCTGTTGAGTAATTTTTTCGTTGCGATAACGGATTGCTGGATGTCGTAAACTAAATTGTTGGCCAAGAGCCGAGGCATCAAGGGCTATACCCCGCTGATGCGCGTGGAGTGGAAAGTAATCCACTGAATAATGATGCTTTTGCAGCACAGGAGTATATGTGACGTTGAAGGTGAGGACGACAAAGCATTTCACTCTGCGTTACATGGTTTTGGACCTGATACCTTTCCAAAGCAAAGCTTAAAAATCAAGGGCAGCACCCAGACGTTTTTGCTAGAAAAGTGCCTGACTACGCGCAGTGACCCAGGCCATCGTTGCGTTTTGTTGCAGGATAACAACACAGTCTTGATTCTAGGCGGTGCACGTTTAGTAGCTCCAGCACCCTTAAGGAAGTTCTAAGCACTGTGGAAACGGACCGACTTGTTCGTGCCGACTGCAGCTGTGCATGCCACGTCAATCGCGTAAACTACTGGAGTGGTAATTACAAGAAGTGTATTCGTCCCCAAAGACATCAAGAATGTGTTTGCTTGAGAGGAACGCAACAGCTTTTGGTAGCACTGACTTCGACGGTCAAGCGATGCTATAGCAGTGCTAGAATTGTTGGCATACCGCATGACGAAAGCAGTTACGCTGTGCCGTTCAATCGTCACGGAACAAGCTCGGTATCCGCGATGTCACAGCTGTCAAGTGTTGGCAAAGATGGCGTCACGACCACTTGCAGCGCACCGATAGGTTACGCCAGATGGCCAGATATCGTCAGTGTTAGTTGTAGAACGTTGTACGAACTATGGACCTTACCACTCCTGCGTCTTGCTCAAAACTATCAAAACGTTTACATCAAGACATAGCAGTATGAGATTGTGGCTTATCGAGGCCTGTGTAGTGTATGTCAATATACAACAGTTCGCAAAGATCTCTCGACCAATATTGTGTGACCTTCTAACTTTGCGATTACATAATACACACTTCCTCTCTTGACTTTTGAGTCTTTAAATGCAATAGCGATATGAACGCCATGAATCAAGCTTCATCAATACTTTCGTCGGGATCCGATCGTCAATCCTATGCGATCTGGGTATTGAGAGCTTGTGTGGACATCGCAGCCACACATCTTGAGCCGGGGCCCATGGGCTTTGTGGAGCCTCGTGACCGCTCGACATGACCCGGGGTGGATTCGTGTCCACTACCACGAACCTGCAATGGCCATGACAAAACACAAGTTCTCAGGAGTTTGTAATCTTGCGCCTTCTACTTACGTACTTCAAAGTAACAACAGATATAGGTACAACTAGCAAGATATGGAACGAAACGTTACCCGTAGTAATGACACCACGATCACATTAAGACCAAGAACTGTTTGGCAAACAATACCTAAGATTATAGAGAGAGCACTATACCACGTCGTTAGCAACATAGACTTGCTACGACTCTGCTTTACTTTTTTATCAGATGCCAGCAACCTGCTGCATTGCTGTTATGACGACAGGTAAGAAAATGCACTCGTAAGGATATCAGTACACTTTACTATTAGTATCGATTCCACTCGTCGCTTTTGTAGTCAACGTGATCAAATGTGGTTTATTTGAAACATTCTCTCCAACGTGAATCAAACAGCACGATAGAGGGAGGATACAATTCTTGGTGTAATCCAAAGCATCACACAGAGAAGTGGATAAACTTGATATCAACAACACGTCATCCAACGATCTCTTCGAACCATTCTACCATTCGATGGCCAATGTTATCAAGCGCATTCAACTTCAAAAACTATTCGCGTCTAGAGTTTAAATGAGGAAGCAAACTTCTTCTCTCTGTCATTAGTATCTAAACGCAATTACTCGTTGTATCTATTCATGTTCGTTGCTTAGCAAATTTGTCTGATGTTAGTAGGATCAGAATATATACGAGTCTGCATCTTCAAAACGGAAGACAGTTCGTCTAATGTGGAAGACCAAGGTCTAGTGCATGTTACCATCAGTTCCAAGGCCACATCGTTCAGCTCTCAATCCAGTAAACCACAAAAGACGGGTTGTTTTTCTTTGGTTTGCACCCTTCAATTGCTTCCATCGATTATTACTTACGGGACTTATGCATAGAGCACCCCAAGGTCCACTACAATTGCTGCATTGAACACTCCATTCTTAGCCATCGAAGTATCTAAACTCGAGTCATCTTCACTAATCTGTCACGACTCTATGAAAACAAAATCTGTACATCAGTGACTGATATCAAGTGTGTCGTCGGGATAACGTCATAACTCAATCCACGATTCTCAGAAGATTAATGAACGGAAATGGCTGGACACCTTTATCCATGGATATGGATCTCAAATATACAAAAGTGAGTTGTAGGACAACACCAGACTCCATCTCTACTACGAACCATCAAGTGTCTCAACAACTTGCAGTCGCTCGCACTCAATTAGATGTACTACGAGTATTGAAAGAAGAAGGTCTGTCGAGAGTGGATGCAAGGAGCTCGAAAACGTATGCGACAGCATTGGTTTTAGCAGCCAAAAGAGGTCATACAAACAATGTACGCTGTCTACTAGATCGTGGTGTCTCTGTTAATGCTGAAAATCTGGATGGAGACACTGCACTGCAAGTAGCTGCCACAGTCGGACAGCTGGAAACTGTAGAACTGCTCTTGAATACTGGAGCTGCAGTAGATGATAAGGATCGGAACCATTGGACACCATTGATGCTGGCGACACGAGAAGGACATGAAGATATTGTAAGGAGTCTCATTCGTCGCGGTGCTTCATTGGAGATACAAAATGACAAAGGAGAGACAGCTCTGAATATTGCGGCACAATGGGGTCGACCCAAGATCGCTCAGTTACTATTGAATGCAAGTGGTGATGTGGATACGACAGATACTGAGGGGATGACGCCACTAATGAACAGCTCAAGGAACGGACAACTTGCACTAGTAAAACTCTTCGTAACAAAACAAGCGAGTCTGGAAGTTTTGAACAAGTCTGGTCTTTCAGCTCTTCATCTTGCAGCAGGTGATGGCCGATTGGAAGTTGTGCGCGAGCTACTTCGTGCTGGGGCAGATTTAACAGCACGTGATCAAGGCAAGGGCTTGACGTCGCTCATGTATGCAGCACGACATGGCCACACTTTTATTGTTAGAGAGCTTCTACCGTTATCATTCCAACGGGGTGTGGACGCTGTTGAAATCGAGAGCAAGAAAGGGTGTACGGCACTGTACTTGGCAGCTGTGAAACGTCATAAAGCTGTGTGTGAGATGCTGCTGGATGTAGGTGGAGCTGCAGTGGACGCCGCAGATACAAGAGGAATGACACCACTTATGGCTGCTGCTAAGCGGGGATTTGTGGACATTGTTCAAGTACTGTTAAGTCGTGGAGCGGCCGTTGAAGCTGTTAATTGTGATGGTAATCGAGCGTTAGAGATCGCAGCCCGCAATGGACGAGCTGTTGTCGTCAAGCTCTTATTGGAAAATGGAGCCTTCATTGACGCTCCGAATCGTACGCGTGGATACACAGCATTGTCTACTGCAGCTATGCGTGGTCGAGTCGAGATCGTTCATCTGCTTTTGAGTCACGGAGCGAATCAAAATGCTCAAAGCTGTGATGGAGACACACCTCTACTTCTCGCAGCTACTCAAGGACGTCTTGAAGTTGTACGTGCACTTCTTAGCAATAGCGCTGCACCAAATATCAAGAACGCAATGGGAGATACACCATTGTCAAGAGCGGTAGCTGGGGGCTATGTAGAAATCTCAGCACTTTTACGAATTGCTGCTGAATTTCAAAATCAAGGAGCTCTTACCTCTGTACAGGTTCGACCAGCGCCACAATCTTCTTCGAGCAAGAATTTCCAAGGCATATCGATGAATGCATTCGATCAGGTTTTAAGTCTCTCGAAACAAAACTGTGGACTACCAACGAAGTGAAGCTGCATCCGTGATCGATCTGTCTGACAATGACAATGAAGGTACTTTACATATATTGGTTGTGTATTCTTCTCTTCATGCTAAAGTATAATTGACTAGAAACCCATACACTGATTTTTCTCAGCTATGAAGTGTGGATGGATGGGTGCTGTTCAAGCATCTATATCGTCGTATTTTCACCACACTCTATAAACAGTTTTGTAGGGTTTCAATTAATGGAGGAGGACAGCTGGAATCAAAAGTGGGACTTCCTATTGCCATGGTGTCAACGCATTTCCTGGCGTCTACAGTATGTAAAAGGGATGATTCAGGATGCTCCTGGACAACACTTTGAAGGGATAAAAGTACACTTACCAAGCTTTGGGTCATGGAATGAGGAACACAACAAACTTAAAACTTCGATTCAATACGTTCGTGAGACCTTAAGTCTGTTAGCTGCAGTGGCTCACGTTGACAATACAATGTGGAAGAAACTGCTACTTCAGTGCACTGATTTCGATGTTGACAACGAGGAAGCAGGATACGAAGGGATAGTTATGCCCCGATTTCAACTTGCAGTAGATGACAACGGACCAGATAATGACTACCACCTTTTGACAGGTATCATGGAATTTTGTGGAACGGTTCAATACACCAGTCAAAGTGCAGAATACAAGGAAGCTCTTGCTAGAATCTTTGCTATGAATGATACAAAGTCGAGTTCTATGTCAATGGAGATTGAAATTCCAATTACGGTGCAATTGGGACCGTGGATGGCCTACAGTAGTAACGATATGCTGACATATCTTCGAAAGTTACAGAACACGGTTAGAATGATTCGGACGCAATGGCAGCAGTATCGTAATTGGGAACAGTTTTCTTTAAGCACTGTGTTTGCACTGGAGTCCATTATCGTAGACTTACGCGATTTCAGCATCTGCACGGGATTGGCCGAGCTTGTTGAAAGTTTGGCTTGTGATGGAATTCGAGTGTCGGGTCTGGCGTTGAGGCAAGATGAATTTGAAAGCGAACTGACGTCGAACGGCAATATAGAAAAAGCTCATATTACTGTTGGAAAATTGATGTTTGGACTCTTTGGCGGTGCAAAGCCGATGGAATGGGAGGATTGTGGCGTCGAAGCTACAAGTATCACTGGGCCTCTAGCAGCCGAGTATGGATACGCTAACCAACTCGCATCCAAATCCGTGCACTTTGACTGTGAGGCAATGGAAAATTGGGTATTTGAGCGAATGTGCTCGGCTGTGGCGGTGAATCAGACAACAGAGCATCTTTCTCTAGGACTAGAGCTTGATGGTGGAGAGAATAACGATCAGGACGGATATCGAGCGCATAGTTGCTGGAGGTGGCAGTGGATCATTTTTGCTTGCTTTTCGGAGAAAGCTCGCCTTCATTCGCGGTTGAAAAGTCTTGCTCTTCACAATGCTGTCATTACATTGGAAGCGGTTAAGTCTATGGCTGTGGTGTTAGCAGGAGAGGGACCAGAAGAATATTTGCTTGGATACTCGTGTTGTACGTCTGAGGAATTAGTCGACACTTGCATTCAAGCAGGATCACCAATTGAATTGTTATCGGTTCGTATGGATGATGAGGATGCTTTTAGCACTGGTCGTTCATTTACATTAGATAGAGAGATTACTGGAGTAAGGCGGATGACTAAGCTAGATCAAAACGATTGTGCGACTGTCCTTGTTCCTGGATTCGGGAGATGTCAAGTACAACGCAAGAACTTGGTCTACAGAAAGCTTACTTTACCTTCTAACAGTCTAGCAGGCACCACATCCTTAGCAATCAAGTTTAGTGAAGATCCGGATCCAGATATTCTACAAGGCTTGTTGCTACTTGTTGGTGTTTCACTCACACATCTTGCTCTCAAGTTTGAAAGCTTTAACACTAGTGAATTGGAAGGCATCGTGGCAAGCTGTCCAAATTTGGTTGAGCTAGCGGTGAGCACTGATACAATCGAGATACGCTTTTGCCTTCGCGGCAACAAGTACCGTGACATGGCCTTACACGATAAGTCATGTCTTTGTTTCTCAAACGTAGAAGGAATAGCAGAAGCGCTTTGTGACTACGAATACCCACTCACTAAATGTGTACGACGTCTGCGAGTTCGTATCCCGGACGACCCGTTTGACAAATGCTGTGGAGTCTTATTAAGGATGCTGGAAATGAATTACACACTGGAGTGTGTGGACGTCATTGCTCCATGCTCCCATATGAAGCACTATGACACATTCAAAGCGCACCACCTCGAGCCGCTATCGTTGAAAAAGTCTGCTCTTTCCATGGATTGCAAAGTCGCTTTTTTGAGCGTCATCGGAGCTAAGAATGGTGAACTAGTAAACAAGAAACGAAGGAAAGACCCGTCACTGTTACCTATGCTTGATCAAAACGTGCTTCGTAGCATATTTGAATACGCAACACCACACATGTCCCGCCAGGTTTACTTCCGTCAGTATAACCTCTTTAAGACGGGACACGCGTACACACCAATTTGAACACCGGTGCAAAGATTCTTGTACATGTTTAAATTAGCATCATCGAGTGGAATATCTGCCCTCGCTACGACATCTCGTGGGCATTTAACAACAATATTCAGAACTAAAGTACTGAAAGAATGACAATGACACTTTGTGTCAAGTCGTATGACGGTGTTCAGGAGTAAAACACAACAACTGCTCAGGCAGAAGCTTGCGCGCATGTGATGAAGAATCAAAGACGGACTCGATGCTAATTATCGTTTTTTACTGCAGTTTCGTGAAGCTGCGTCAAATACTGTAGCCGCAGAGATTCCAAGCTCTAATCGGCCGATCAACTTTGTAGTTCTCGGTCGATAAGAGCTTGAAATGTAAAACTTCCACTTTGACGTGTCTCTAGCTATTGACGCTAATGTAAATTGCTAGCGTTCGATGCTTTTCAAGTAATGTCTAGGTACATCGATCACAGTCATAGTCGCCACAACTCGACTACGACTGCGATCAAGAACAGGTAGAGAATTTACAGGACACATTTTGATTCAATTAAGTACATACGCTTGCATGCAGCAACCCTCACCATATCCTTATTTTCGTGATTGCCCACTTTGCTTCAGCACACTAGTAACAAATCTTTCTTTTCTACGACGATTGTCTTTGCCATCTTATAAAAGAATGAGATCTTGAATGTGGTGGCGACCATTGCTAAAAAACAAGGCTGTCTCTCTGTCTGATCTTCTCCACAAGGACCTTTCTCCATCAAAATGTTAATGTTCAATAACGCACACCTCTTTCTGCAACATGATGCACGGAGTTTGAAAAATACTCTAAGATCCTTGACTTGCTGCAGGACATCAGCAGTAACAAGACAAGTTCAATGCAAAGAAGTGCTACTTTGCATTATGTTCATAAGCTTGGGCAGGGTACTTCAACATTATCACCAAACAAAAAACTCTCTTGAACGCTTCAGTTTGAGAAAACAAGTGCCCCATAGAAAGCTACAACTGTAATGAAACACTCTCATTCCATCATGCAGCATTTACTAAAGTAACTCAATTGCTTCGTCGTGTAAATTGTCGCTATCAAGTTCTCTAGTGCCGTTCATATCCATATAGCCAGCAATACAAATCCTCATATGTGTATTGCAAGAGATTAAGGAGTATCGCATTAAAGCTTTAAGAGTAAATGGCTTTTTTATTTTCTGCAGTGTGGTACCATACGGAATCAAAGAGCTTTTCATAAACGTGGCACTTGGTGAAAATTTGAGAAAGTTGCATATAATGTGTAATGTACATGTCGCTGCTAGCACGCTCTATTTTACACGAATCAAATGCTCTTTGAAGTAAAGTGCAAACAATTTATAGCCTGTACCATGATGACCTTAGCACAAGGGCGCACGCGCCTTTCGTCGTGCTCAGTATCAGTTTTTCGTCTGGTCTGCCTTTCTGCATCTGACATAGGCTGAAAAGTAGATACATCACGTAATGATTGGCTAAATATTACCTGCTTCTTGCCATGAAATCGAAAACGTTTTGAGCTTTTATACAAAACACAAGTTAAAAGGGACGTGTACAATGTGACGACTGCATTCCCGCCCCTCTCTCCCTGAGCTGGCTCTTTTCCCGCATCCGCAGAACTTATGGCAGTGTGTCATTCCTTCTTTTGCCTAACAAGACCTCAATCAGATTTTAAGTCACAGTAAAATCCATATAAAAAGATGCATTCGGTAGCATATATTAGCACCATTGCTGCTATGATTGCAGCCATTAAGGCTGAGTCTGGATCAGGTGAACCTGGTTATTGTGAGGATGATAAGTCCTGTGAGGACAATTACGTATGCATTAGTGTACAGACCACACGGTCGGGTATTGAAGACGTCAAGCAGTGTCTGCCCTATGCGGCAGAAGGTGATGTATGTTCTGGTACATTCTCGGGTCTGTGTCCGTCATTTTCGACGTGGAACACGGCCTTCCAGTCCATCAGTAGTGTATGTGCTTATCAGTTGCCGTCGGGCACGGATCAATGCCTTAACAACACCTTTTCGGGCTCGGATACGGATGGCTTCGTGTCATGCGTGAACATTAGAGAGGGCTCTGGGTCTTCTGCTGAGAATGTTGGTGTGATTTACGGTTGCGTGGATTTTGATGGCACTAATTTGTTGTTTGATGAAGACTCGGACAATTGGGAATTGTCATCTCAGATGAATTACACGGCCGTGATTAATGCAGGATGTGTGAATCCTAAGAATGGAGAGAACTCCGATGTTGTATGCTCTGGTCGTGGAACGTGTGCCCCTGGTTCATCGGGTGGTATGGATTACGAATGCCAATGTAACATTGGTTACAATGGTACTTACTGCCAGAAGATTGTGTCGAACAAGTGTACACTCGAGTCACAATGCCAAGCCGGTACGTGCAACCTTGCTACCCAAGAGTGTGAGTGTGAAGAAGGTACCACTGGCGACCAATGCGCTTACTGTGACCCTGAGTCACCAAAGGCTTGCAACGGCCAAGGCACGTGTGTTCCTGCGGTCACCTCTACCGACGCCAGTTTGGCCGGCAACAACATAACTACGGCTGGTGATTTAGACTCAGCTGGTGATGTAGACTCGGCTGGCGGCTTGAACTCGGGTAACGCTGTCAACGTGGTTGATAACACGGGCTCGGCTGAAGCCACGGACTCTGTTTCGGCTGTCACGAACATGGATAGTGACCAGTCAACTCGTTTTTTGATGGAAATGGTCGGTATGGCTTCGTCAAGTGACAGTGGTAGTGGCAACGTTTGTAAGTGCAACAGCGGTTACACTGGCGACCAGTGCACACGTAAGGTGGAGTCGAGCTCCAGCGGTGATGACTCGAAAAAGCGCGGCAACTCACCATCGAGTGACGCCATTTCAGTGGCTACTTCAGTCGCTCTCGTGGTTTCAGTCGTTATGGTCGCTTTCTTGAATTAGATGGACTGATTGTCGCTCGCTATTATAGCAGAAAGCTGAAGCATGATGTCAGAGGATGGCAATTTCCATGTGATGAATGCTCTATTGCTTGAAATACATTGCGAGTCGACGTGTGTCTTGAGAAAGAGAATTCTTTACTAGTTCTCGATAATACATTTTTGCTTTTGCTTATAAGTTGAAGCTAGATACTTAAGTGATGGACATACGATAGTGCATTTCTATTGAATTGATTAGGATCAAATGGCTACATGTGTTGAGACCAAAATCAGATTTGACTTGGTTTTGTTATGCTCATTAACTCTCAAAATTTCAATGACCTTCTTCACCACCTTGACCCTCTACCACTTTTCGTTTGCATCACTATGAGCCACTACAGTCGATCATCTATGAGTCGCATGTCTATCAGTAGCAGCGTTGCGAGAGTTTCCACTGCGCTACGGAATGACGCTATATTGTACTTGACCATATTATCAGGACGTGAGTTGAAAAGAGTGCAGCTTTTGGGTGAACAAGACCCATATTGTAGTGTATATCTTACTACTGGAGGGAAAGAATTAGAAAAGGCAGTATTTAAAACAGATACACACGATAATGGAGGTAAGAGAATATAAAGAGAAGGAAATGGTTATGATTGGACCTATATTCTGATACTATTATGCAATATAGGGACACAGCCACTATGGAATGCCAAGGGTCATATTCTGATTCCTGATATCACGTCAGACGTTGTTCGTTTTCGCATTAAAAATAATAATTGGGGAAAAAAGTACGTATGAAAAATTTAAAGGCAGTTTTAATTTTTATAATCTGAATATCGAATTGAACAATTACTGATAATTTCTATTGTCTGATTATTTATGATACGACACCAAGTACCGTGATTGGAGAAATTGCATTAGCAATGCGAGATTTGTCCCGTGGACGTTCCATGGAGAAAGAGTTTGCTCTCAGTCCTCAAGGTTTTCTTAAAGTGTTAATGTATTTATCACTTGGTCATGGTAAGATGCAATTTTTGAGCAAAGCAGTGAATTAATGCGGAATTTTGTATCGGTTGATGCTGCTGACAATGTTTTGACAATGGCAGAAAATCCTACCTCACAACCTCGTGTGAAGTTTGGCGAATACCCGCAGCACTTTATTCCTGGAAAAACAAAGCTCTATCTAGGAATTGTCTCGGGTAGCAAGCTGCGTAATATTCAATCATTTGGAACGCAAGATCCTATGTGTGAAGTGTACATTGGACGTACTCGTACACCAGTTGCTAAGGACCTAGTGTACAAGACAAAAACTCATGATAATGGAGGTAAGTAGTGCTTGGAAGCTGACTAGTAACAAGTGTACTAAGTTTTGTGCATTGTTCGTTACTAGGTAAGAATCCACGCTGGATGGAAGGTCTTACAGTAAGTGTGCGATGCATAGAGCATGACTTTCTTGTCATACGCGTCATGAACGACAATACCGTGATCGAGTAAGCGTCTTGATCATATATCTATACCTGCAGTAAAATGAGGTTCTCATCGTACGATGATGATATTATCGATTGCAGCACTCTAATCGGAGAGCTCTGTTTGAAAGTTGAAATGCTGATTGGTCGCGATTTTGAGGACAAGAGCTACCCGATCGAAGCGGACGACACGATTGTTGGTCAAGTGCGACTTCAACTTGCACTATTCAATGACGAGATTATGGATGAGGATGAAATCCGTGATTGTGACTTGGATGGCTGTTCCTGTAATTTAACGCAGCCAGTGCGTGCTACAAAGGTTGGTGATGTCCTAATCGACGGTATTTCCCCAGACGGCGTACAATACCTTGAAGCTGGCACTGCTGTGCATACTGGATGTGAATTAGCAGGAAATTATGTTGTCGATAAAGATATATACGAAGGTAGCGGATGGGAAGGGGAAGAAATGAACTTGCAGCGACTCGACGAAATGGATAGCGACGAATGGGAAGGTGATGAATTGTAGTAGTCACGCGTGCCAATTGCTACATCTTACAAGACCATAGTTTTAGGCATTTCAGATTTAGAACACCAAATAAAATACGTACTTAGTAGTGTGGGAGTATATGACCTGATCAGAACAACGAAGTAAAATAAATTAAACCGTGATCGATACGACCGACCGACCGACGTGAAGAGGACGTAATGGATCGAATGTTTAGCAATCGTCCAATGCAACCAACCTCACGGTATAATGATAATCCGATATTCTTGAATCCTCAACGAAGCGTTGAGGAAGACTCATGGACGGAAGTTGAGCGACAGGAACTTGATCATGCAGTAAGGGCTTAATCTATTCTTTTTAATATTAATTTTGACAGGAAAGTGGGTTTTTTACGAATTATGTGTGTTTTTAGACTTCGTATGTATCAGAAAGTATGTATCTGGTCATGGAAAACCCAGTTGGTTCGTTATATACGGGTGAAATGGTGCATTTTAAAGCACATGCACTATGCGATCAGTCGACATTGGGCCAAGTTGCAGGAGTTTCGAGCAAGAAAGACTCATTGAAAGGTATGGATGATATAATGCACGGAACGTTGTTTATTACGGATTACCGTCTTCTTTTTCGTTCGTTTCATGTAAGTGGGTTTTTTACATGGTTTTTTGTTTGAAATGGGGTTTTCAATATTTGTGAAACTGTTTTTTTGACTTTTTCATGGGTTTTTTGTTATGGCAATAGCATCATGAAGAAGAATTGGTGGAAGTTCATTTGAATAATATTGCAGAACTTGCTGAGTTTCGAGTGAATGGAAAACTGGGACCTATGAGTCAATTGGAAGTATCTTGCAAAAATTTTGAGCTGGTGAAATTCAATTTTCCTGGAGAAAACGTCTCAGGTGACGTTTATGTGAAAATCAATCAGTTGCTTGTAAGTAAACTTCATCCTGCAGCTTATGCACTTACTCAGCGATCTGATACGTCTGGGTGGGGAGCATACAATCCTCAGACAGAATTTACTCGACTAGGCTTCAAGACACCAAAACCAGGTGCACAGAATGGCGGGTTTCGAATAACACATGTGAACAGTAATTATAAAATGTCTCCAACGTACCCTAGCTCATTCATCGTTCCTGCATCGGTGTCAGATGGAGAGTTGCGGAAGATCAGCTTTTTTCGTGCTCGTGGACGTGTACCAGCTGTGACATACCGACACAAGAATGATGCGTTGGTTGCGAGGTGTGCCCAGCCGCTGGTAGGGCTGCGGAGAAGACGGTGCATTTCTGATGAAGCATATATGGTAGCACTACGACGAGAGTGTAAAGGGAAGCTGCTGTTTATCGATTGTCGAAGCCAGACCAGTGCATACGGCAACATTGCACTGGGCGGAGGCTTTGAAGTGTACGTGTTTACTATGTTTACAGACTCTTAGGGCATGGTTTTGATGACTATTCGCCTGGTTGTCTACATGGCATACAGGTTGGATTACTACAAGGAGACCAGCATCATGTTCATGGGTATTGAGAACATTCACTCAATGCGAGATTCTATTCGCAAACTTTTTGATTTGATTAAGAACGAAGTACGTGGCAACGAGCGGCCAAATTGGTTATCAGGTCTAGAGGTGCGTGAACAATGTCTAGCTGGCTTTAGCCGTTGGGTTTGAACTGAAGCTAACGCGGATAATTATCGCTACTGTGTCGTTACTGTACTAAGAGTACACGATGGCTGGAACACGTGCGCTCTATTCTAGTGTCGTGTTCGATTTGTGTCGCCAAGCTCGTCGAAGGGACTAGTTTGATGGTTCATTGTTCTGATGGATGGGACCGCACCACCCAGATCACAGCCTTAGTGAAGCTGTGTGCGGATCCGTTTTATCGGACGATAAAAGGTTTTCAGGTACGTCATCAGCGCGCCAATGGAAGAATGCGTTTATGTACTGAGCGCTATAAACTTGTGCTGCTACTAGGTGCTGGTTGAGCAGGAATGGTGTGCCTTTGGACACCAGTTTCGCGCGCGATCGGGACATGCGGATAGCCCAGCTGGATATTGGGAAGACGACAGCACATCGCCTGTATTCATGCAGTTTTTGGATGCTGTGTGGCAATTGATGCGTCAATTCCCGTGCTCGTTTGAGTTTAGTGAGCGCTATCTTATTACTTTACTTGACGAAGTCTACAGCAAGCAAAGTGGGACGTTTCTTTACGATTGCGAAGAGGCTCGAATGGTCTGTGTTTGAAACTTGATATCAATATAGAAAGCTGTAGCTTATGTGGTTGGTCGTTTGTGTAACAGAGATCCAAGACGGTTATTCGATGCACAAGTGCCTGGACATTAATTGAGGCACATCCTCATTTTGCTGATTTTCGAAATCCATTTTTTATGCTGCCTCTGAGTGGCGAGGGTTCTACGGACAAATCTCCGTCTGTATTGCAGTGCAAATGGCACACAAGCTCGCTAGCAATCTGGTCAGCGTTTTATCTACGATCGCTGGAATCGAATGACTCTCGGGTATATCAGGTTCCATTTTTATGATACTTATCATTTGTAGCGATGTCATATTTGTAAAGATGAACACAGTATCTAACGCTGGCTGTTTTGACCATATTGTTATGTCAAAAATGGTAGGATGCTTGGGCCAAGGAGCTGCAAGTGACCCAGCGTGAGTTGCAGGATCAGCTGAGCGCAGCACACGAGCAGTTGCGGTCACAGGTGGAGCAAAACTCGGATCTTCAAAGTGAGTTGGAACAGCTTCGACGTGAACGTGCACAGTTGCATCGAGTGCTCGAGGGTGAAGTCTATAGCGATACACCCAATGGTTTACTGGTCCATGAAGTGGATGAAAATGAAGACGGTGTCTTGCTGAGTGTGACACCTGTGGGTGAAAGTCGTACTACGTTGGAACCTTCATATAACGATATGACGTCAACGCCACATGGTGCCCACCAAACAAAACGATATTCGACTACAGGTGTGGGCTGTTTCCTTGGAGGATCAATGAGTCAGGATTATCAAATTCTCCAAACGTATTTTGGTTCTGGTCGCCATGAACCTCGATCCCTGCATTCGACATCGTCCCGAAATATTTGTAACGAGTTGTATGCTTCTTGATAGTTTCTCAGTGAGACGGTAAGTAATAAAAACTATAGTTTTCACATGGTTTTAAAAAGAACACAAAAACGTCTCAACACGTCAATAAATAGTACTGACCATTTCTGAGTCTTAACCAATCATACCACTATGCCCCATCCCATTTTTTTGTGTTCATCAACAATTGACATTTTCGAGTCTAAATTGTCAGTTGACAAAAAGCTACAAAACAACGTCATGAGCACGTGGCAAGACAATAACAATAATAATCACATGGAAGAATGTCAATTATTAAATGGTGAATTTGCCGCTTTCTTGCAAGTTTTATTGGGTTTAATTGCTTTTTCCGTGTTAATACTAAAACGATTTTATGAAACACCTCAACGTCCATTACTTATCTGGGCGTTTGATGCTACAAAACAAATGATTGGTGCTACATTTGCACATATTGCTAATCTATTTATTGCAATACTACTTTATGCAACTCAAGAAGAAAAAAATCCGATACAAGACAAAAAATCACATGAAGAAGAACCAGTGGATCAATGTGCACTTTATTTTGTCAATTTCACGTTAGACACGACATTTGGTGTGTTTCTCAATTATATTTTACTCTCAGCTCTCATTCTTGTCGCTCATCGTTGGCATTGGTCAGCACTTCAAATACCTGGAGATTATGGTACACCAATTCAAGTTCGAATCTGGTTTTTGCAAGTTTGTTCGTGGATTTTAGTGATTTTTGCATGTAAATTTCTCATTGCAATTGTTATTGTCACCTTTCAAACTCCATTGGGAAGGTTTGCTATGATACTATTGAAACCATTGAAACATTATCCCAAGATTGAATTGGTACTTGTCATGATTGCATGTCCCTGTTTAATGAATGCCATGCAATTATGGATTCAAGATAATTATCTGAAAAAGGATGTACGAGATGAAAGTTTTCTTATTGCTCAAGCACCTCTATCACCGACCAATAGTTTAAATGGAGGAGAAGGAGAAATTACCAAATTTAGGGACACCTATGGACGATAAAAGCAGTGAACCAGGAGAAGGTGGAGGAAAACTTTGTGTTGGAAAAGTAGAGGAACACGACAAGATTAAGAATAAGGAAGAAAAGGCAGGAACGATCAAGAAACAGCTTCAACTTGATTTGACGTCTCTTGAAACTAACCTCAATGTGTAAGACCAGTATGGATGGACGCACGTACGTACGTACGTACATGGTTTTTGGAATTTATGATACAACCACTATTATGATAAGATTGAAACAGTTTGATGTGCTTCTTCTATCCATCTTCCCATGCTTTTATTTTCAGTCTTGAAAGATACTACTTACTGTGTAGTATATTCTCCTTGCGATTCTACCGTCTCTTCCTCCCCCTCGTTACTTATTTACGCCGGAACATCATTAACGCTACGGCACCTAGACCCACTAGTGTCATTGCACCACCAGCAATCATGTTGTTGCTGAGAGACATACCACGAACACCACGGTTGCTCTTGCGACGAGATTTCTTGCTTTTACGTCGCACCATCTCTTCCTCGGAACTGCTTTCAGACGACGACATTTCGTCTACTTTGGTTAACAATCGGTTGCGCGGCTTGGGGCCAACGACATTTGATCCACTACTAGCACCACTCGCAACTGAACTGGCCATGGACACGACGCTGCCATTGCCGTCGTAGTGTCGACGCGTCACTACATCTACCACAAGTACTAGCCGTTTCCATCCTGCACGCTGGGCCATATGCACAGCCTCAATGAGACTCTCATCGGACGTTAGCAGCGCCAAATCCCCTTCGTCATCCTCGTATGTGAGACGCAGTGCTTCATTGTCATCGAGTCCCATTTTGAACCGAATCTGCTCCAGAAGCGGACCCATCGAGTTGAAGTTACACATGATTCGGTGAAAATGACCCTGCGGGCCGCCACTCACCTTAAAGATAAACATATTCTCGTCCGACACCTTCTGCATCAGAACGCTCGTTGCTGTCGTATTTGCACCGCTGACAACCGAAACACTCTCACCTAGCTCCGCATACGCACCCAGTGAATTTGAATACCGACCGGCTCCATTAAGGCCCACAGCACTTGCCGTCGGAGTCGATGCATTATCTCCAGCATTGTACTCGCCACGCTCAAACTCTTCAATCGTGCCAACAGATCGTGCATCATCGTCCATGCCTCCGAACGCACCTCCCGCTACTTCTTCCTGAAGGTTCATCGCTATTTGCCAGAACTGTCTCCAGTCACCATTTGAAGTGCCACCAGACGTAGTCTGGAACTGACCATAGCTCAGGCATATGACGTCAGCCATGCCCAATATTTCGCCATCGTCTGCCAGCACTGGCATGAACAGCTGGCCAGCATCGTGCAGGGCGCGCAAGCCGTTCACGATGCTCACATCAGGCCCCATCAGATCCGGATCGACTGTCATCACTTCTTCCACCGTCGTCGTTTCTGCACACAGACCCTTGGCTACCAACTTGCGCAATAGATCCTTCGTCGTTACCATACCACACAGCTCCTGTTCATCGCTTAGAACGATGGCAGCCTTCTTCGTGTTCGCCATCAGCTTGGCAGCGCGCGCCGCCGTGGTATGAACAGTAACTACAGGCGGCATGAGCTCACCGTCAAGCGCGTCTCCAACGGTCGGCCGCACCATTTTCTCCATCATAGGGCCAAGCAACCGTTGCAAGTTCGACCCGGTGCCAAGATCCCGTGAGAATTCAGATGCTGCTGCCTCTGTTGACTGCTGCACCTTTTCCAGACACGTAATGGCGTCGTACAAACACTTGGAGATATCCAGCATGCCTTGCGGCGTGCCGTCAGAGCCAACCACGGGTAAGTGCTTAAAACGGCCCTCAAGCATCTTTGTGATAGCCTCAATAGCCTGATCCTCCATATACACGCAAGAAGGCTTTGTGGTCATAACTGAAGCCACTGAACAACTCTCCGGATCCAGTCCTTCAGCTAATACGCGGCGGGTGATGTCCGTGTCCGTCAAGATACCACGAAGCTCACCCTCCTCCGTCGTCACAACAACTGCCTCGACACGAGCTTGCCGCATGCGCTTCGCCGCTTCGGCTACAGTGATGAACTCGTTAATGCGAGTCACCTCCTGAGGTCGAAGCATCGATACAGGACGCATTGCGCCCTCTGGTTCGGGGACATGGTCCCTCATGGACGAATGGTGGCTTTCCGTGTACTTGCCTGGACGCCGGCGTGAAATTCGCGAGCCAGTCATGCTAGCAAGCTCACTAAATTCATCTTCGTCGTGGCCAAGCGCCAGCGACACGTCCCAGAACGCGCGCCAATCCGAGTCTCCATCGATGGTTTTGCCACTTTTAGCTGCTGCACCGCTCGCAAACGTTCCGTAGCACAAGGACAACACGTCCAGCATGCCCACAATTGTGGTCGTCTCATCGTTAACAACCGGCAAGTGCAGGAAGTCATGTTCATACATGATGTGCAACGCTTCAACAAGCTTGGTGTTCGGCGGAGCAGTTTCAGGATTATGCGTCATAACTTGACCGACTGTGGTCTCAGCAGCATCTAAACCTGCGCCAGTCACTCGCAGCAACAGATCCTTTGGCGTAAACACACCCAGCACCTTTCTAGTAAGTGCCGAAGTGCCGATGTCGTAGCCTCCCCCGCTGATTGAAGAGCGGTGTCCTCCACTCACAGACGAGCCGTTATCACAGCTCAAGTCCTCCACAATGAGCGCAGCTTTACGGGATGCAGCCATCTGACGAGCCACTTCCATTACCGTATCATGCTCACTTACTAGAGGAGGAAGCGTCTCATCTTCCAGAATCGAGTCCACCGTTGGTGAAAGCAGCTTCTCTACCATGGGGCCTACAAGCTGCTTCAGGGCGCCTGGACCGGAGGCAATGCCAGTTGCCTGTAACTGTTTGTCAAGGCGTTGCCGAAGCGAGCCGCTGGACGATTGCTGCACCTTTTCGATACGCGTAATCGCATCGTACAAGCATTTTTGAATACGAAGCATGCCCGCAACCATACCTGTTTCGTCTACGACGGGCAGGTGACGGAATTTGCCCTCCAACATCATGAACATAGCATCCATAGCACTATCACGTTCGTCCACAAACTTTGGGTCCGGGGTCATCGCATCCAGCACGCTCACGTAGAACGGATCGTTGCCCAATGCCACCACACGTCGAGTCACATCAGTGTCTGTAAGAATACCAAGAAGCCCACCATCACGTCCAATGACCAATGCAGCGTCCGTCTGCGTGATACTCATCTCTTTGGCAGCGTCAGCAACTGAAAATGTCTCCGAAATCGTGATGGCCTTCGACGGCCGCAACTTTGACACAGGGCGCACATTGCCCGTCGCCAAAGTTGCCTGTCGACCCTTTTGGCTCACTCCACTGCTGCTTGGTGCGAGATTGTACGAGATTCCACTGCGGAAACTATACTGTGACGATACACCGTCGTCATCTGTTGCTTCGAATGAAGCATTCCAAAAGGATTTCCATTCACTTGGCTTGCCCTTCGCAAAAGAACCGTAGCTCAGAGAAAGCACGTCGATTAGACCGATGGGCTGGCTGTTCGCCTCGGACTGCACCACCGCGAGGTACAACGTCTTGTTGTCGTGCATCGTGTGCATAGCATCAATTACCGAAGCTGACCCGTTGATAGTTACATTCTTTTCCAGCATCACTTCGCAGACAGGTGTAGTGTGAACGGGCAAACCACGTGCAAGCACCTTTTCCAGCATCTCTTTGGGCGTAAAAATGCCACAGCATTGCCCACGATTGTTTATAACTAGAGCTCCTTTCTTCTTGATAGCCATTTGCTTCGACACTTCATACACAGAAGTGTACCGCTCTACACAAGGGGGATTAATACCTTCTTCATCAATCACTGTTTTGATGTCAGGTGAGAACATCTTATTCACCATGGAGCTAAGAAGTTGAGAGACGCCACCAGCACGAGCACCACCATTCACGCGGCTCTTCATCTCTTTCTCTAGCGTCTGCCGTAACGCCACAGATGATTGCTCTGACTTCTCCATCTTCCGAATCGCATCGTACAAACACTTTGCAATGTTTAAGATACCCACGACGGGACCATTACGCTCGACAACCGGTAGATGGCGGAACTTGCCCTCAAGCATGGAAATAAGCGCATCAATGGCAGGGTCGTCCATTGACACAAAGACAGGATTGCGAGTCATTACATCACCCACCAGCGTTGAGCCTAACGGCCGATTTTCTGACACGACCCGGCGCGTCAGATCCGTGTCTGTAATAATTCCACTCAGCGTTCCGTCTTCCGACACCACCAGCACGCAGTCCATCTTGTTGCGCCCCATAGTCCGTGATAGCTCCGCAACAGTTGTCGACTCTAGTACAGTTAGCACCTTAGTAGGCCGTAGCTTCGCCACAGTACGGCTCTTTTCCTCACGTTCGGCCCTCGACATCAACGTGGTACGCTCTCGGCCGCCTGCTTCCGACGGAAGAGATGGCTGATCCAGTTCCAGCGTCGTATTCCAGAACTCTTGCATTTGCTCGCGGTTCTCACCGTAGATTGCATCGATCGTGCCGTAGCTGAGATCAAGTACGTCAACCATACCAACAAGCTCGTTCGATTCATCCTTCAGAACAGGCAGGTTAAGTATGCGGGAATCGTGCATAATGTGCAGGCCATCCAACACAGACGTCAAAGGCGTGGCAATCTCAGGGTCATTCAGCATCACTTCTTCCACATACGTGGCTGAAGCCTTTAGCCCCTTAGCAATAACGTTAAGGGCCAGCTCGTTTGGAGAAAAAATACCAATCAGCTTATCAAAATTGATATCGTCGACAATAAGCGCCGCCTTTTTTGTCGAAGCCATTGCCTTCACCACGTCACTGACAAGAGACGACTTCGGAAAACGTGGAGCTGGCATCGAACCATTCCGGGTTTCGTTGTCAATGATTGAACTCAATGTGGGTGCCGACAACTTTTCTAGCATCGGACCAAGCAGCTGCTGAAGAGTTGATGACTTGCCACTCTTTTCCAGCGACGCCTTCAATTGATCCGTAGATTGCATAGCATGTTCGAGGCGCTTCGAGACATCGTAAATACACTTGCCGATGTTCAAGACACCAACAATACGGCCACCGTCGACAACGGGCAAATGGCGAAAATGCCCCTCTTGCATGGACAGCAGAGCATCAATTGCACTATCGTTGGGCGATACATACTTGATGTCTCTTGTCATCACGTTACATACAGGTACCTCCTCTGGAATCAAGTTCAGTGCTAGCACACGGCGACAAACATCCGTATCAGTTAGAATGCCATTCAAACCTCCAGCCTCATCCACAACAAGCAACGCGTCCGTCCGTTTCTGTTTCATCAGCAATGCAGCTTCAAACACAGATGCGACCTCATCAATAGTGATAGCCGGGAGAGGACGTAGGCTGGATACGGGACGAACGTTCACACCCTTGTCGCGGTCTTTTTGCTGGCGCACCTTGCTAGCAACAGACAAATTGGACGTCGACCTTCCAGACGTCATCGAGGTAGTTTCATCATCGTGATACTCAAAAGCAGCGTTAAAGAGCTTGCTGATGTCGCGAGATTCGCCAAAAGATGCCAAACTAATGGAAATAACATCAGCCACACCTAAAACTTCGCCAGAATCCGGAGACACCACCGGCAAACTCAAGAACTTTCCATCATGCATGATGTGAAAGGCATCCAGCACCGAAGTCTCCGGTGCTGTTGATTCAGGATTGGGAGTCATCACGTCACTAACTAATGTCGTATTAGCGTCTAAGTCTTCCGCAATTACACGAAGCAACACGTCCTTTGGAGTAAAGATTCCAACCAGATCCTGTGCTCCTGGATTAGACGACATCACCATAACTGGTCGTCTGGTCTCTACCATGTACGTTGTTGCCTCATAAACTGTCATATTACCATACACTAGTGGTGGCATAACCTCACCTGGCGCCGACAACACATCACGGAGCGAAGGGGACAGCATTTTTTCAAGTGTTGCGCGCAACATGGCATTGTCCCCGCTTGCACCAAGCTCTTGCTGGAGTGAAGCTGACATGTTTTCGACTCGTCGAATTGCATCGTGCAAGCACTTCGCCACGTTAAGCACTCCAACGATGTTACCGTCGTGAGAACTAACTACTGGCAAGTGGCGAAACTTTCCGCTAAGCATTGTATCCATCGCATCCACTGCGCTATCATTCAAACTAACACAAGTGGGGTTCGGCGTCATCACGGAACCAATAGCGACCCTGGCGGGATCCATACCCTTCGACACCACACGCCGTGCTGCATCTGTGTCAGAAAAGATACCGGTCAAGGCACCTTCCCAGTTGGTCACCAGAACAGCGGCAGCACGATGAGACTTCATCATTCTTGCAGCTTCTAAAACGGTTGACTCTTCGTTAACCGTAATCGCCTTCGCCGGACGAAGGCGAGCAACTGTTCTTGACGGGTCTGCCGACGACGACTTCTTCGCTTTAGACGATGTAGACATCATCGATGAATGCGACCTCGCAAACGAATCCCCCGACGTTGCCGAGCTGTTCGAACCTGAGCGCAGACGGTGCTCAAACACTGGCGGCTTGATTGGAGGCATCACAGGAGTCATAGTATTTGAGTCCCACCGGACACTAGGAGAAGGACCATTATAAATTGCGGGTGGCCGCCTAGGCGTCAAACCAGGTGCCGTAGGAACTCCTTTAGGGGCAACATAGTCATTTACCGGTACAACAGCGGCTGAATGATCTTCATGCGGTTGTACTGGAGTCGACGCTACTGGAGAAGCCTGTACGGCCGGATATAGATGCGGTGGTTGTGCTAACTGAGGTGTTGGTGCTGCCTGAAATACGTTTGAAACAGGCCGCTTCACACCAGGAAAAGCCGCAGGTGATGATGCTGGCACCAACAAACAAGACCCACTCGCAGAAGCAATACCGTCGCAATCAATGTTTGACGGAGGTGCGGGCGTAGTTGGCTCTATTTTGGGTTCCCCTAACGGAGGCGTTTCCTTCTTCGTGGAAGGAAGTATAGTTGATTCTAATGGTGGCTCAGGTTTTGATGAAGAAGATGGTGGAGTAGGAGACTTCGAAACAGCAGGAAACAGTGCCCTTTTCTTCTTTGCGACGTCAATATCCTTCTGAAGCTGAGCACACTTATCGAACTGCTTCCTTTGCATCAAATTGTCAAGCTCCTGGTTCAGCTTCTCTATTTCAGCATCCAATTCCTCTGAAGTTTGCTTTTTCTTCCGAGCAGACACCAAGGCGTCCAAGCTAATTTGCAGGTCGCTGCACTTGCCAAAGTCTCGTGCAGCCATTGCCTCAGCAATAACAGTTTCCATTGCACGGATACGCTCATCAAGTTCCTCCGGTTCTAGTTCATTTAGGTCTTCCCTCACGTGCTTCCGAGCTTCTTGCAGCACCTCAAGTTGCTTTTGTAGTTCCGCACACAAACCAAACTGCTTTGACATTGCAGCCGCCTCCATATCCTTGTTTAACTTCTTGATTTCTGCATCAATCTCCTTCACGGTACGAACCTTCTTTCGAGCCTCCACAATCTTCTCAAGCTCTAGTTGCAAGTTTGCACACAATTCAAACTGTTTGCTGACTGCAGCATCTTCAATGGCCTCTTCCATCTCTGCAATTTTTACATCCAACTCCTTGGGACCCATATCGCCAAACGGATGAAGCAAATCACGCTTACGGACCAAATGCCCGCGGACAATTTTCTGTATAATTGCTGCCTTCTCGTTTTGCACACGGTAGTCAGCGCGCATTCGCTGGTACTTGCTCATAGCTACACGCATCCGAAGAAGACCCACCACACGGTACGCACTGCAACGAAGTCGCTGCAGCTGCTTCTTCGCGATGAACTGACGAGCTTTCGTTTGAATTTTGACAGCAGATTCCGCTCTCGCAATGTTGCGAACCCATTTCTGGATGGTGCGGGCAGCAGATTTGCACCGCAGCATTTCAAGTTTTCGCAACTTGAGGGCCATCGTTCTCTTCAAAAATACCTTTGTTTTGCCCAGCTGCCACTCTTCCTTTCCGGCACCCAACATGGATGAAATCTCCTCAACTAGCTGCGTGATGTTCTCAGCATCAGGCGCAAGAGACTGGTAATCGTAGAAGAAAACATCGTGATCTTCACGAAGAGCAAAACCGCGCTGGCGAATCTGAATCGCCTCCATCATGCCAGAGTATTTCAGCTGGCGCGCACAATCTGCGTCATTAAGCTCATTTGGGCGCTTAAATTCGTTCGGCTTAATGCAACGCACATATCGTGGATTTGCCAGCGAAATCTTGTTAATGAGCTCTTGCAACTGGTACCGAAACTGAGCGCTAACAGACACTTCCCGAATATTCCGTGATTTGTTTCCCTGTTTAGGCATGCCCTTTCCTTTCATCTCGCTTGGGCGTCGAGAAATGGAGTGCTGCTGTTGTGTCTTGTTACCAGGTATAGCCTCGATCGACTGCATGTTAAGATCAAAGATTCCACGCAGCCAATCGCTCTTGGATTGCCGGATAAGCTCTTTCATGTCGTCATTCAACGTCTCATTGTTTTTGTCGTTAAAACCACTTGCGTCATAGATCACTTCACCGGCGTAGTGCTTGATACCAAAGTGCAAATCTGCATCCATCTTCGGGTGCACGTAGAACTTGTTCTTACAGCTCGAGTGTCCACTAGACGTGCGGCCAAAAGAGTTGTGCAAATTTGACACAAACTTTTTGTTTGCTTCTTCCCCTTTAAGCCGCCAGTTGTCATCCAACGAGATAAAAATACCTGGTTTGCCATTTACTTTGCTTTCAATCAAATCTAAGCACTCTTGGTTGTCTTCAAAGTCAATGTGTTTCCAGTCGATCCCCTCCTTGGTATAGTCGTTCTGCTCAACCTCTAGCATGTGCTGGTTAAAGTGTCGTTGCAGCTTCTCATTAGCGTAATTAATGCACAGCTGCTCGAACGTGTTCCACTCGAATTTTTCAAATCCGTAGATATCTAACACACCAATGAAGCCCCACTTGTCCTGGTTGCGCGAAATCGTTCTGTTCAGCTCGGACACAAGCCACAAGAACAGCGACGAGTAAATGCCTTTCGCAAGCGCATCCCGCTTGTCTCGAACTTGCTCCGAGTTTTGCTGCTGGACAATAACCTTACCTCCCACATAAAGTTGCCGAGTCAGTAGAGCTTTGGACAGCGCGTCTTCACTCACTTTCAGCAACGACGCGACAAGTTTCATGCCATGGACGGAATCATCTTCAACACTGACGCACATATCATTCTCCATTGCAAAATGTAAATTGCCAATCTGCAGTACTGCAGCAAGTAATTCAAACACCATTTCTTGTCGATCTTCCATAATCCCAATCGTTTCCATACATCTCTTCGTAATGACAAATTCCTTTGCATCATCACACGAATGGATATGAAAACATTCACTTTTTCTCAAATATTCATAATCCTGTGGCGTTTGTAATTCCAATCGTTCTCTCAAAGCATTATCCGCACCAGCTAATAACTGATAGAAAATATGATAATTACGTTCTCCCAAACTCTGTGACACAATGCGTGTTTTCTCCAACAAGAAATTCAAAATCTGTGCCCCAACAATTTTTCCATGATGATTGAATTGAATTTCAATGAATTTTCCAAATCGACTAGAATTATCATTGCGTAATGTCTTGGCATTCCCAAAGGATTCAAGTAATGGATTACTATCAAGCACACGTTTTTCTAATTTGCCAAGAGCTTGTGAGATTCCACCATGTGTCTTTTCAACCATCGATACAATTGGTGATGCTGCAGATGCTGCTGATACTGATACTGGAGATGCTGCTGCTGCTGCTGATACTGCTGGCCCCCCTTGAATTGTTTCGGTTGTTTTAGGTGAACTAGTCGCACGTGCTAGATATTGCATGATAATTTTCGTTGTCTCTGTCTTTCCAGCTCCACTTTCTCCACTGATAATAATACTTTGATTTGCTGGATCTAATGCACCACCTTGTATTAATTGCGTATACGCATGATCTGCTAATGCAAAGACATGGGGAGGTAAAAGACCCATGGCAGTGCCATAATATTCCGTCATTTTTGTTTCCGTATAGATAAAATCCAGTTTTTTATATGGATTAATTGCAATCAGAATTGACCCAACGTAAGTATAAATTAATTGATGTTCATAGCGTTGACGAAGATTGGTTAAAAGGGAGTCTTCGGATAAGTCCGACATTTGTAATATATCTTCATATGTTGCAATCATTGACCCATGCTCAAGTGTATTTTCATTGGTTATTATTTTTTTCTTTCGTTTCGCACGTAATAAACGTTCTTTCCGACTTTCACCACGACGATTTTCCATTGGTAGTAGTTAGTATATGCTTGAATGTATATAATAGATAGCTATCTCGACGAACTGCGAGAGAGAGAGAGAGGAGAGCGAATGATACACGTCACGTAATCTATTCGATGCTAATTGGTGTCTGAATCATAATGACAGGGATAAAAATATATAAAACCTTGGGACTGGAATAATAACCTTGGTTTAAGGAGCCTATAGATGAGACAGAAAATAGGATAGTATGACTTTGGTGGTGGTTGTGTTTATGTCACTATAATCAGGTAGTATGGATTATCAAATATAAGGTTTTTTATGCAAATTATAATGGAAATTTAGGAAAACACATGTCGAGACTTGGATACAAATCATACATTTTGTTAACTAGCTCCCCATATTTTGGCTCAAATCAGTACAAAAATGAGTCATTAGCACCACCAAATATAGTTTACCACTGCTAGTACCATTAAAGTTACTTCACTAGACGACTGAGGTTTCGACGGTATGACGATACAACCACAACGTAACACCCACATCAGCCAGCCACACGACATAAATCATCGCCCTACTACCACTATTAAAGACCAAGTGTATTATTTATTAGTCACGTAATGAATAGCCCACAAGCCTAACTGGTCACATGACAAGTACGAAAAGGCAAGCAACTTGTTCGGATACTGGAGTAAACACAACCTCTTTGTGCTTGTTCTAATCAACCTTAATAGAGGCGTAAATCTTACGTGTGAACCACAATGAAGCACCAACACCAACAGCTCCTGTCAGCAAGGCCAGCGCACCAGAAATAACAGCCATGTAACCAAAGTAGAGCATGGCGCCAATGAAGTTTGCCACGTCCAAACGTGTCCAGAAGTAATACGTCGAGTAGAGGAATACGTAGCCACCACAAGCACTTGATACGAAGAACGACCGCCACCACCTATGTATCACAAATGCGTTAGTAACTACCTGTACATACTGCACAGATGGAAGCGGCACTACTTGTAAACAATTGCAAACGTACCAATTGTAATCTTCGGCGCATAGCTGGAAGTAGGTAAACACGATCGTGATCTCGGCGCACGTGTTGATAAGGATAAGGAATGCCAGCAACAGAAAGCCAAACACGTAGTAGTACTTGTCTGTCCACAGCGACGACAGCACAAAGAAAAGCTCCACGAAAATCGCGCCAAATGGAAGCACGCCGCCCACGGCTGCCGCCATCATGTGCGCCATATACCAAGGCTGAGGAGGCACAGGGCGAGGGATGTTGCTTGTTGCCACAGGAAACGTAATAGGTTCTTTTCTGTAGCAGCATAATAAACCGATCATCATAACTAGCAATCCCACACCATATTTTACACATTTTTAACAATGCATTCACATACCTAAAACCAATATGAGCTCCTGCAAATACAAGTGGCACGGAAATGCCGGTCCAGAGGAAAAAGACCAGTAGGATAGAGCCGAATGGCACAGCGGCGTCCGAACCAGCGCCCCACACGAAAAGGTTCAGAAAGAAGAAGAGCGAGAACATAATGCCCGGGAATAGTACAGCCGTAAGCACTGTGCACATCTGCCAGCGCTTGCCCTTAAACATCTTGTAAGTGCGAGATGATGTGAAACCCGCTAGCACACCTAGCAATACGAAACACACCAGCAACGCAATCACCAGCTTACCACGGTTCGAAGGTGCCAACACGCCCACAGCAGCAAAAAGGAGCGTAACAAGCGCCATGCCAAGCAGTTGGCAGCCTGTGCCCACCATAACGCAAAAAAGCATAGGATGCTTTGACGGTGGACGAAACACATCAGCGTGCACAAGCTTCCAGCCAGATTCTTCACGTTCCTCAGCGCGCTCCTCTTCCGTAGGTACGCGGTTGTAGCGGCTGATATCACGATGAAGGCTGCGCATGAGAATCACGCCCACCATTCCACTAAGAAAAAGCACGATTACAAGAGCATTGATGATGGAGAACCAGTGCACTTCATCACCACCTGAACCAGCGTCAAAGTAGACATCCCAGCGTGTGCGCCAGTCATGTTCATTATCCAGTACCCACTCGACACTATAAGTCCAAAACACAGGCAATTTACCATCCTTGTTCTTACGCACATAGAGTGGACGTTTAAGCCCACTCGAATGCTCACACAAATCCATGCGATTGTTTTTTTCATCATACCCATTCGCTCCGTACTCAAAGCTGTATGGAATGACCTTGAAATCAACAATACGTCCTTCATCTTCTGGTGAATCTGTCGTGCCCAATGGATTATTATTATAACCAATCAGAATCTTCGCGTGATTATAAAGCTGTGGCACGACTTCCACCTCGGCATTAAAATTTCCCAATGGAAAACCCACAATCATGCCACCCTCGAGTGACACGGATGTAACTGGAAGATTATCTAAAATCCAATTGATCCTGTATGAGTCCTTAATCTTGTCTTCCCATGTCTGAATATCCTCCTCCTCATATTCACGTTGACACACGACGGTACATTCCTGATTTTCTAAAAATTTGATTTCGTAGGGCGAATTTTGAATCCGATTGGCTGTTAGATACTCGCCCAAGTTTTCCGATTTGTACTCAATTTTAGCTGGCTACATTTCAAAATAGGTACAAAACATTAGAAATTGAACCAGGATTCATATTTTTAACCAATTATACATCAGAACAAGTAATCGTTTACCTGACAAAAAGGTAACTTATAGTAATCAATAGGCAATAAAGTCTCAATTGAGTTGAGACTATTAACAAAAATAGGCAATGTCTCGCCCTTTGTATACGTCGTCATTTGAACACCTGGTAGTGAAAAACCTTGCGTAATGCTCAATAGCATGGCCATAGCCAGCATTACAAGCAGTAGCTTGCCCTGTAGACACGCGCCACACATACTATTAGCTTCCTCTCTTTTCGACGTGTTTATTATTTCTGGGGTTTTAGTTTCTTTATTTCTTAGGCTTTTCTTATAATCCGGTTATTTCCGGTCGAATTTAAGTGAGTCATGTGTCTAGCTGCATATTGACTGAAGTATAGACTAGCATTGCCATCATGAGCTCCACTGGAAAACCTCTTTGTTTGTGCCAACGCCTATACGAGATGCTTGTTCCAGAAAAAATACGCTCGTTTGTGGTTAACAAGGGATACTTTGATTGTAATAAGCGCTATCCAACATGGGCTACGGTCACTCACGGCGTCTTCATCTGGTTAGACTGTTCGGACTCTCATCGTCGACTAGGCGTTCATCTGTCGTTCGTGCACTCCATTGACATGGATGAATGGACCGAAAGACCAGCTTCAAGATTTGCACAAGGGTGGTAAAGTGGGGGGGCGTATATACATTAAGCAATATGGCGCAGCGGAGCTAACAAGTGTTCGATTGGAATTTAAAGACGATTGCATTTTGTTTCTTTGTTTTTTGAGACTAATCTTGCTTTATTTGTTTATAGTGTGCAGATTAAGGTGAGATACAATTCAAAGGTGGCACAGATGTACATGATTGTATTGACCAAAAAGGTTAAGATGTCAAAATTGCAGATTGTTGCTTCAAAAGAGGAGGAAGTATGGAATGATGTTTGTACAGTATGTGGATATGCAGTGCTAATTGACTGGTGTTATCTTGTAGTTTGTCGATCAATGTAGGAGACTAAGTACAATGAAAAGATCAATGGCCTTGAGGTAGTATGCCATGCCCATCGGTGACATAAGATGCATAGGAACTGATCAAATGCTTTTGCAACAAGCTATGGTATAGTAACATGGCAATTATGGGTCATACAACAGGGTACAGCTCTAGGTATAGTGGACAAGCAACTTGTTCGAAGCACCATTCAATGTGCAATGCATTGCTGCTTACGGAATGCTTTGTGTACACTACAATTGGAATCGTAAGCGCACCTACTAGAAAAGGTGTATAGTCGCGAGTTGAGCAAGCAAACGAAATCGCGTGGGGACAAACAGACATTGGTGTGAATTGATGTTCAGCGTAGCTTTACAGTATTTAGACAGAAAAAATCTAAAACAAAGAACCAAATGGTAAGGAAACGCCTCAAGCTGGTCAAATGTAAGTGGAGTTGCATGTACAGGATACAGATAAGGCTGCGTGATAGTCGTCTAACGTTAAAGATGTGAGTGATGCTTGCAGCACAAAGGTAGATAGTCAACTTGCAATTACACAGCGCGAAAAGAAGATCTTGGGGCTATCATAATCACCACTGCAATGTCACCTCTTCAATGGTACATGTAGCCGAGCTACTGTAGCTATGCTACTTATGCACTATGTGCAGAAGAAGTAGTCAAACTACTGTACGTATGAACTATGTGCAGAGGAAGACAAGCTCAGAGAGCTTCTACGTCTTAGGGTGTTTAACCCTCCTAGGCTAGCTCATAAGCTTGTGCCTATCGGTATTAACCGAGTCTCAGAGAGACTAGTATCAAAGATACTTAATTCCTTAAAAGGAATAGAACGCTCAAG